AAAAAAAAAAGGAGAAGTGAAAATGCGAGCCTATGATTCGCTGGCTACGGCCGTCACGGCGACCGGCCGCTGCAAAAGGACACCACCATCTGTTTAGCGGATCCGATGAGCAGAATCCACCATCTTCTCAGAAACCAAGCGTACACAGACCAGAGATTATTTTCGGGTCGGTTATATAAAATATCTCCTTCTCTCATTTCATCTTCTTTCTCCTGGTCATCTTCTTCTTCGGCGTCGGCGTTTTCGAAGGTCGGATTTGTGGGATGGTCCAATTGTTTTTAGGGATGGTGAAGTCACGTCCCCATTTTGACCAAGAGCACAGCTAGCTGGATTATTATTCTCTCAGCCTCAGGTAAATGTATTTAGCAAACTGATTTTTGGGTATTTCTTTTTGTTTTTTTGTTGTTATTATTGAGTGTTGGATCAAAATTGCATGCCCTCTCTGTTTGGTTACTGAGAAAGTAGTGGAAAAGTGAATATAAATAATCATCTGGCCCCATTTTGTGGACTAAATAACTAGGATACATGCTGATAAGAACCAGAAATTTAGAAAGAAAGCAGAGAAACATCATGGAGAATTATGAGAAAGAAGCAGAACACAGAGAGAAAAGAGAGAAAGTCAAGAGGTAATTCTTAATAATCTCATTGCACAATTCAAAATCATAATACAATACTCCTTAAATACAAAGGCCAGTACCTAACCACAATGAACTAACTGACACAATTGGTTACTAAACTGAATAATTAGTTAACAAGCATCATGGATTTCACCAAGTTGGCTGGAGAAATTGGCACTGTATCACATGCCCCTCCATCAAATCCTGTTGACATCATTGGAGATTCCTACAACTATTATGTTGCAGGTGAAGAAGCCAATAATTTGAATACCAGTCAAAGAACCCAGTTCACAAGGCATTCTTCTATTGCATGTTGGCATTTTCAGCACTGCACAGCCAGTTGAAACTCACTGCCAAGAAAAGCTGGAAATGAGGTGATATTGTCCTGTTGTCTGTTGCACCACACCCTATCAGACAACTAATTTTATGAACAATTATTTTTCTCCTTGTCTCATTGTGAGAAGAGGTAGTACCTAAATTAAATCATATTCAGGTAGAAATTAATGCCTAACTACAATATTTTGCAGTATAGTTGGGAGTCTTGGGACTGCACATGGCTCCCAATTAATCATGGAGCTAGAAAACAGAGAACTGTTGATAAAAGGATGGATCTGAATGAGTGTGGGGCTAAATGCTTAGAGAATTGCTCTTGTATGGCCTATGCAACCTTGGATATTAAACAACCTCGTCGCTGTGCAATCTGGTATGATGATCTATTTGATCTTAAACAAGTCCAGTCTGGTGGACAGGATTTATATATTCGAATGTCTGCTGCTGATTCAGGAATTTGGTTAATTTTGGTTCAGCCTAGCATTTTAGTGTGTCATTAAGTTTTGATTCCTGTTTTTGTTGGGTGTTACTATTTCTATGCTCAGTCAATATGTGAATGATTTCATTGCTATGACTCTAATTTGCATATTTCTTCTTTGCTTTATTGAATTTGACCATGAAGAGGCAAAAGGCAAGACTAAAACAAAGACAGGACTGATAATTGCAACTACCATTTGTGTAGTTGTTGGTGTTCTTGTAATCACTTATGACATTCTCTAGGGCTGTAGAAACATAGAATGTAAGTTTCTTTGCCTTCACAAATCATGTTGCCATTAAATATTGATAGCAACTTCCATTAGGTTTTCTCTGATCATTTGAATTTGATTAAATTCTTCGATTTGCTTCCACCATACAAGTAGATGCAAACATAGAAGTTATGGAATACCCTAAATACTCAAGCATTCTTTTTGTCTACTTGCCAATTGTCAAATTTCGAGGTTTAGATGTCTAGGCTTACTGCCCTTTCAGGAATAGAACGTGGCAGGATTGAAGAAAGGCAAAATTATAATATGGAACTCCAATTATTTGAGTTAGATGTAATATTGAAGGCCAATAATAACTTCTCTTCAAAAAAGAAGCTAGGAGATGGTAGCTTTGGGCCTATCTACAAGGTAAATGCTCAAAGCTCTAGTAAAAATGGATATTAGAATACGAAGTCTTTGCTAAGAAAGAAATTAACTTTACAAGTACCCTTTTGCAGGGTACTCTACTAGATAGAAAAGATATTGCTGTAAAGAGGCTCTCAGGAAGCTTTGTACAAGGATTAGTTGAGTTCAAAAATGAAGTTGCACTTATATCCAAACTTCAATATTGGAATCTTGTAAAGCTTCTATGATGCTGCATTCAGGGGAGGAGAAAATGCTGATTTACTAATATATGCCCAATCAAAGTTTGGACTTCTTCACTTTTGGTTTGGATTCTTGTTAACCGTTCAGTTAACTTCATAGGCACAGCATAAATTCATCAGAAATTGTTTCCATATTTCAGTGCAACTCTTTTTCAAAAACTCTTTTTGAAGACTACATTAATACAAAGAACATCTTACATGACAGATTATACAAGAAGGAATCTTTTAGATTGGTCAAGGTGTTTTCACATTATTTACAGAATTATTGGAGGGCTCATTGATCTACATCAAGATTCTCGATTGAGGATCATACATAAAGATCTCAAAGCAAGCAATGTTTTGCTTGATAGTGAAATGAGCCCCAAATTTTCAGACTTTGGCATGGCTAGAACATTTGGCAGAGAACAGTCTGAGGGGAACACACAGAGAGTGGTTGGAACCTAGTAAGTTCTATCTCTATGCTACCTAGTTTACTACAAATTCCCTGCTGATATGAGTTGTCTTGATTGTTCCCTGCAGTGGTTTTATGGTGCTAGAATATGGGCAATTCTCAGTAAAATCCTATGTTTTCAGCTTCAGGATACTGTTATGGGAGATAATAAGTGGGAAGAAGAATAAAGGGTCTTATCATCTCAACCATAGGCCTAACCTTATTGGCAATGTAAGTATCATTTTCAAGACAAACCTTTTTACCTTCCTTAACTGGAAC